TAGTCTCTGATGAACTTCTAAACCAAAGTAATGCGCATTTGGTTTCAATTGGTTATTTGATGCTTTGGTTGAGCATCGCTAGTTAGCAGTCGTACGTGCTTTGAAACACCCAGTTCCTGGTTGACCAATATGTTGTCACAAAGTAGCTGTCCAGGGTATCAGCGAACTGCTTAGATCCGTTTCAGACTATGCTGTCATGGAAGTCATCGTAAACGTTTAATGTTCGATGCCGTAGAAAGTAAATCTATAAGTAACGAAGTCACAATACTGCCGAATTGGACAGCAGATTAGAAATGAGGGCTCGTCCAAGCAACGAAACCAATGTGTTATTCCAATCTTTCTTGACTCGTAGTATGAGCATAATCAACCGAGTTTGTGAGAAAATAATTTCACGCAGCTGGTTTGGATTATGACACTTAATTTTATATTAGTATTTGTTTCATTTCATTGGCAAAAAGCAGCGTTATCCAGGATTTCTGTAAAGAACCAAACAGTCTTCCAACGCAATTTCATATCTGCTGTTTCTAGTGCAGTACGTATTATAAGTATACCCTTCCCAACATAGATTTTAGGTCATGTAACAAAGGTTAGTTAAAAGGATTTTAGGCTCACCGTAGAAGAAATAGGTTTGGAACATGAAGGATTTCCTTTGTCTGCTGCGTTTGGCGTTTTGGACGCAAACGTTTCGTCTCTAAGCCAAGGAACGTCGTCAGTGCGGCTTCCAGGATCCTTGTAGGTAACAGTTCAACAGAAAACCGAAATCCCTTTATCGTCCGTTCAACTGCAGGTATGTTCAATAAATGCCAAGGTCAGAACTAGCACTTAAGATCAAGGGGGTATGCATAAAGACGTTGCCATGCTTTAATCTTTCATGCCAGTAGAATAGGTATTTCCCCGACAAACGAAGTACAGAGCATACGGGCATTTCGATAATGACCCTATTGAGACCTTTGTTTTCAATGATACTAGACCGTTACAATGGTGTTGTAGTTAAGGTCCAGTAGCCATGGTTGCTTTTGCGTGTTGTGCTGAACTACATCACTGAAGTAGAATCAGTACTACTGTCGACGGGTAGTCTCGGAAATGCACGCTGCTTCATCTGTATCTTTCCAGACATCACATGGGGCGAGCGTTGTCGAGTTACCCGCACCTTAGAGGACTACCAGAAGGAAACTTCAACGAGAACCATACTTCTTCACGGGGTTCCTGAAACTGAAGCATGTAATGAGCATGAAATAACAACCCATGATGAAGAACAGTGGTGTTATATTCGTGAAACACAATATTTGGATGATGTGTTGGCGAAATCCGTGTCACGACTGCGTACCTCACCGAACTACAAAGAAAGTGGCCCGAGGGTGTTGAAAGTGGTGCTTCAGTCAAAACATATGGTAGCACGGATGTTAAAAAGCTGGTACATGTTCCGTTGCAAGCTACCATCTGAGGTTCGGCTGAAGACAATCAGCGATATGCATCCTAGATGATATGTCACTAAAAGAACCAAACGCGATGAGATCTATGCAAAAACAATGCACAAGTACTGTGCCGAATGAGCTATTACAACCCGTAGAATATGATATTGACCAGGCACCATGCACGGTACTTAGAAGATTAGACACAGGACTAACTAAACGGACAATGAACGTGATGTTAAACTCTTCACCAAGTACACAATGAAAAGACGATTTGTCGCAGGCCATTCACTGGTCGGCGAAACTTCCCGTATGAGTTGCAAAACCACCGAAACATTGTTTAAATCTGAGAAACTTTCATGTATGTACACTAACGTCCAAGGGCTCCTCAGTGAAATTATCGAACTTCGACTACGTCAGGTTGCAAATGATTGGGACCTGATTTCTATTACCAAAACTTGGTTACACCAAGAGGTGACTGATGCTGAGGTTGAGACAGTCGTAATATCACTCATCCGGAACGACCGTCCCTGCAGAGAACCTAGGGTCCTCTCTACTACCGCAACGATCTACAATGTACAATAGTTGATGACCAGGAAACACATGTTACCGACTCACTCTGGTGTCGTCTCCGACTAAGGCACAACGACGCATGTCTCGTAGCTGTCGTTTACCGCCCCCAACGTCCACTCCGGAAATGGATTCCCGCTTGATACGTGGCCTGAACTGATTAACACGCACTATGTACAGCCACTTTGTCAACTCAGGGGACTTCAATCTACACGATCCGGAGGTTTCGGCATCACCCAGTAAAATGTTCAAAGCAGACTTGCATAAACTGATCGCTAATATTCCCTTGTACAATCATGTCACTAAGCCCACTGGATTCAGGAAAGCAAACAAACCGTCCATTTTGGACGTTGTGCTCACGAATGAAGAGCTCATGGTTGACAAGTTATTGATGGATGGTCCATTGGGTCTCAGTGACCATGTAGTAACAACTTTTAACTATGTGTGATATGCAGAGTATCCATCTGGACACTCGGAACTGCTCATACAATCACACGCTACCACGTATTGAAAGAACTCGCCGACGCAGCTGCTTGGGAATTCTCAAACAAAGGTCCCCTTGACAACGTTTGGGCAGAGTTCGTTAATAGGCACAACGACATCGTCATCAAAGTATCAGAGACCAAACCCCTTCGTCCCGCAAATATGCCTTCAATTCTAAGGAGCAGCACTCGAAAATGCCTGCCGATAAGGGATTCAGCATGGCGTGCCTACGAGATTAACTCCAACTCAGAAACTTGGGGAAATTTACTGACCCATCGCAACCATTGCACTGCACTTGTCCGTGAGGACAAGGTAACTTATCAACAGTGCCTCGCCAAAAAATTCATGACAGACAACAAACTGCTATATAGGCATGTCAGTAAGCTTCATAAAGTGAAGCATGGAATCCCTCTAATTTTCACCACAGGCGATAGAGTACAAAGCGCCGAAGAAGCAGCTAATGCCCTGCGGCTACAATGCGCCCCCATTTTCGAACACATAACATCTACCTGTCCCATAATGTCATATAAATTACCGACTCCACTGTTTACACATGTAATTTTCTACCCATCAGTTATGCTAAAAAGTTACTATCACTGTGTGAGCATAGTTCTCCGGGAGAAGACAACATCCGCCCGAAGGCACTGAATGCTGTAGCCAACAAGCTAGCTGAACCACTGTCACAGTTCTTCCAAAGGTGCTTTGATGAACAACAAGTTCCCAATATGTGGAAGCGTGGCATTATCACCCCCATTTTTAAAGACGGTAGCCGTTCAGATCATGTAGACTATTGTCCAGTGACTCTCCTCCCTGTGCTCGCGAAGGTAATGGAAGCAGTCGTCGCTGAGGCTTTAATTGACTACCTGGAAAAATGCAATGTCTTGGTACCGGAACAGCATGGCTTCCGTCAACACCGGTCATGCACCACCAACCTACTGATTGCATGAGGTAGTTGGACGGAAGTGGCTGATGATGGGGTCGGAGTCGACGTCATCTATCTGGACTTCTCCAAAGCTTTCGACCGCCTTGATCACCGCATCCTACTTCAACGGCTACAGAGTTACGGCATCGGAGATCCTGTACTTTGTTGGATTGTCAGCTTCCTTCACCAACGGAAGCATCAACTACGTGTTAGGGGCTCACACTGTAACCCAATTAAGGTGGAATGTGGTGTTCCACAAGGCTCAGTGCTGGGACCGCGCTTATTGCTTGTGTTTATCAACGACCTGGCATCAGTTATCTCCTCAGATTTCCTGCTTTTCGCCGATGACGTCAAGATATGGCGGACGATTAGTAAGAAGCCAGATCAAGATCTGCTCCAACATGACCTAGATTGCATTTACGAATGGTCATAGACGAACAAGCTTCAATTGAACATAGCTAAGTGCATAGTGATACATCTGCGTCACCAGCCAGTGAGCGCTTACAAGCTTGGAGACCACACTTCTGAGTAGGTCTCTCAGGAGCGTGACCTGGGTGTATTGATGCAGGAAGAGCTCGGGTGTTCAAAACAAGCAGAGAAGGCGAGGAGAACCGGAAATCAACACTTCGGCCTTCATCGCAGAGCCTTCGGTCATTTTGAACCCTCAATATTTCCCCAAATGGTTTACGCCTACGTGCGACCTCATGTGGAATATGCTACTCAGGCATGGCAGCCGTGGCAGAAACAGGGTCTCGTTGCTCTCGAGACTCCTCAACGACGGGCAACCAAGAACGTCAGGGGCCTCTTTCATCTGCCCTATCAGCTTAGACTGAACTCGTTAAGAATGTATAGCAGTCGATATCGGCTTTTGCGGGGGGATCTCATAATGGTTTACCAGATCCTGAAGTACCCAAACCACATTTGCCGTCCGCTGCTGGAATTGAACCACAACATTAACTAAGAGGTCACCCTCTGAAACGGACAATTCAGTATAGCCGGCTTGAATGCCGTAGAAATTTCTTTTCTCTCCGCGTGTGCCAGCATTGGAACACCCTCCCTAATTATGCCGTCTCTGCTCCCAATCTGCCCATATTTAAAAGACGCTGACGGTGCATGGTCTCACTTACATTTCCTTTTATGACTTGTTAGCTAGGGGCTACAAAACGCAATCAAACGGTGTCTTGCCAAACGCCTAACCAATGGATTTATGGATTTATACTTTTAATACGCGAACATCTCCGCTATTCCACAAAAGTCTATGGTGAGTCCACCGCAACGATTTTCACTTCATCATGCAATTGATTTTCGCAACAATTTCCATCCCACGGGACTTGTTAAGCAATGCTTTTTATACCCGTAATAAACCATTGTTCCATTGTACTAAGTGTTTTTTGACCACAAGCGAACACCGCGATCTACTGTATCACATCCACAAGGTCAACGTCATAGGTAATCATAGATACTCACCCAAAACGGAATGCACAATACAGCAGCCTATAATGCTGACCGAACCTATTCCCTTCTGTTTACTTAATCCGCGAACTTCTAAACAGAGTCATTTCCTACTTTACTTGAATATTTTCAAAAACTTACAATTTAATTTTAGCTCCCACTACTACATCACTTAAACTTTGCTACTGTGGAACATCTCTAAGTTTGCGATATATCGCATGGATACCTGGGTGTAGAAGGTGAGTGAGCGCTTTTTATTTGCATTTTTAACAAAATTGTTAACTGTATTTTCCGCCTAGATTGTTTTATACACTAGCACTCAGCTTTCATTTAAGCTGTAGTAATGCAGTAGCGCGCTTAAATCGATAGACGCTTAAATAGATGGCACATCTATCTATTGGTTTTATAAATTTTACTCCAACCTTCCAACGAGACTTGTTATGCGAATGTCATTTTACCGGTAAAAAATTATTTTTTCACTATTAACTATTCCCCAGAAATTTAAAATCGATTCTACTGAAACGCAAATTGCGTATCTCGTGTCATACGATAAAAAACGGCCTTGGGTTGCAGTGCTGGAAGATGTCGTCATATGAAGTCTCAGGAACTGTACGACAGTGCTTCAGCATGCAGCAGTCGTAACAACTCGTAGAAAATAAACCCGCTAACTATGGAATGATAACAGGAGAAGCCCCTCTGAGAAATGCAAACTAGGAAGAAACTCTTAGTGAGGATAAGATCGAGGAAAGCACTTGGACAAGAATTAAACAAGTGAGCAACTACGCATTGGAATAATTTAACTACCTTGCACAGGGGCAGCATGACCTCCGACGAGATCCAATGTGCGCTACAAATCCGCTGCTTACACCATCTAGCTGGACCAAGGCAGCAGACACTTGTGCAAGAGTTTATGTAGATTTTCTCGACTTTGTAAACGCTCTCAAACAGTTAAACATCGGTGTATATCTCTCCAAGCTCCAGAGCTTTGATGTTCGCGATCCTCTCCTAAGGTAGGTCAGCAGCTTTCTTCTACACCGGTGTTTTGAGGTTAGAATGCGTGCATGCCTATTAGATCACACCCAAGTTGAGTGCGGACGGCCCAACGGTTCAGTACTGGGGGCACGACTATTTTTGATGTATACTAACTGTATCACAGATCTCATAAACACTATGCTCATGACATAAAGGTGTGTAGGTTGATCAGCGCATCAGATGATATTATATATCCTTAAGCTGATCTAGAGATGGTTTACCGATGGTCAATCCGGAATCCATTCCGGTTTAATGTGGAAAAATGTAGTGGGCTGCACTCACGGCACAAGATAGCACGCTGCTACAGACGGAACAGTTAGGAGCCTTAAATGTACTCATACAAAATGTATCTGGGCGTTTTGATCCAGGCCGATATTACCTGTTTGGATCGGGCTGGAAAAGCATCGGGAAGGGGCATCTAACACATGGGTCTCCTGCGGCATGCGTTCGGACGACTCAACCCGTCGATCTTTAAGCAACTTCTAGACCTATAGATGCCTTCGCAAGTGGAATACGCAAACAGATCCGGTAGCCATGGTTGAGAGATACTTCAAAGCCGGACGAATAAGAATGTCAAAGACTCTGCAATTTGCCACAAGAACAAAGTCTGATAATGCACTTCAGTGGACCATAACGACGACTGTTTGGGGAGCTGATTTAAACTTAAGGGATTTTGAGTCAACCCCATCACACATGCCACCATCTTCTAGAGCTGGATAACAGCATCAATCTGAGAGACCAAAACCTCAAGCTGGCCCAGAAGTACGGTCGTTTGTAATGTCGTCAGAATTTCTTTCTAGCACCTTTCTGAAGAGAAAGAAATGTTGTGCTAGTGATCGGCCATCCATGTACTCGCGCTATTGAAGCGCAAACCAGAGTTGACTGTGCAATCATTTCCTAAGTGTCTGTTAGCGATTGCACTGCCGGTCAGCTCTCGGAATAAGTTCTACCCTATTTCAACTGTTGCACGGACGTCGGGATGTAAAACTTCGCGAATCCAGCATGCAGAAGGAGTGGCCGTTCCACAGGTGGTAGGAATATAAAAGATGGATTCTGTGTTTCAATGCAATTCACTTTTTTCACTTTAAAAAAGAGCGCTATGCACCCGTAGGTGAACACACAACATTGTGGAGGGTTCCATTATTTTTATTACCAATGGACTGTCACGAATGTTTTCATAAAGCTGAGACATTTCTTATATTCTTTTATCTTTGCAGAAGTAAAGCTCACACGTCAAACTGCCAGGAGCCTTGACTTCCTTAGCGGCATACGAAACGGGACGCTCGTTAAGCGAAAGGCTGTTGCGTCCCAGAAGATATGACCTGACTTGCATCTGTATAAATTCCTACCCAAGTGGAAAGTCGTGTGCCACCCGGCTCGGCAGTAAGGCTTCATCTGTCCCTGAATTTCACTAAAGATCTAGCGAGTTTAATCACTTCACGGTGATTGCTTTATGCCGACGACATCAAACTTTGACGGCTCATCAAAGCGACGTGTTTACCACATATGGAATTCACTCCCTTAACCTGTTATCTCAACCTTTCTTTGTCTATGTCCAAACATCATGTCGACAACGCGCTGGTCGCGTTACAGAATCTCATATAACACACATGAACACCAAGCACGTTTACCAGACATACTCATAACAACCTACACTCTTTTTCTTGGGACAACCAAATCAAGGACATTTCACGTAGCATAGAAACATATGTGAACGATTCAGACGGATAAAAGTTTGTTCCACAAGTTCATTGTCTTCGGTTGTTCTCCATTTATGATAGTTTTTATTTTTCCTTTTAAAACCCTCACTCATCTTACAGGGAACATGTAAGACTTCGGCTTATTTTTATCCCAAGTATATCACCGATCATTGATCAGGATTTGACCCGATTTTACCTACGTCTTATTTGTCGTCATTCCTTATGAAGTTTAATTGGACTTACAAGTTTTAATGCTGTTAACCTAGTGAGCTCATCGATGTGGACCTACAGTTGCTAACACTTTTCCTATATTTGCAATATTCACCATGGCCCTGCTAAAGCACCGTTTGAGTCATAACTTTCCGATCCGTATTATCGTCGTGGATGACCTTGAGCGAAGTTGCGTGTTAATCGCGCACTTGTGCACTCGTTATTTTTTCGTTATTGTTTAGCGACACTTCATCGCACACTTTTGAATCTATACTTTTCATCTTGATTTTACAAGCTCTGCCTCGTGATACTATCTTCTCGAGTCACTACAGTTCAGCCTATATTTAACCTGAATTTTAAATTCCCTGCAGTTTCGCCGATATCCCAGCACAAAATTTTCATAAATCCAAAACTCTGGAACATTGTTTGCTTTCAATTAATAGAGCATTCTAACGACTTTCGAACAAACTTTTAATCGTGCAAATCTAACGTGGTGGTGTGCAGCCACAAAGTAATTTACATTTCTCTGCAGCGAACCCCTCTCAGTCTTTCGGTAAGTAAACCTCGGGCCATCCACGAACATTCTCTTTAAAATCCTCGTGTAACCAGCCCACTTTCACGCTGATGCATTCGACTGGCACTCCAAAGAGGATAGTCTGCAAGTCCACAACTGCAAAGTGAACGCTGTGACCTTGGCGCCCACCTCAGAAGCAGAACAGCTGGTTACAATCGAGGGTAAGTCGTTCTAATTGTTCGGAACATTCGCACAACAAACGCGATGCCTAGCGTTCCACAGTCTACCGACCTATGTGGATCATGTGCCAAATTGTTGATGGGGTATTCCGTGTCGCAACTGTTGCCAGATTTTCCATGGGAAGTAGGTTTAAGTGAAAGCTGGCCAGACTAAGTTATTAAACAAAACGAGGTTCCCTGGGCTTCTGCGTGGAATGCACGTCTATTCTATGAAGAAAATGTTTACTCCTTTTATCTCAGAAGTACGACCAGCAATTAGCCATGTTCGAGGAAATGGTGATAACTGAAATTACCAAAGTTGGGGAAGCATTGCGGACTGCACAATCCAGGCCTTCCCAGTAAATGCCGTTCCAAACCTGAAAATGGGATGGTGACACTTGAAGCCAGACGACACCAGTAGCCCGGATAATCAGCTGCTGTTCCAATGCAACAATTGGCTCACCTTCCACTAATACCAATTTTAGTACCATGCGAGTAACTGCATGCAAAGCTATGTCCAATCTGCCGACGGAGTCCATATCAAAAAAGATAGCCGTAGTTGGGTTGCAGTTGCTTCCATAAAGACCCGACCCTTTAAAATAACAGCGCACCCAACTGTATCGGAAACTGAGACGTCAAGCAGAGTTATCCTGGTGCAAGCACCGCTGGTTTCCTGCTGTACATCCCGAGTATTTCAATCACTAACCGCGACATGTCGAAAGATACAAAGAAACAGCAACCTGTACTGAGCGTACTGTGCTGCAGTATCCCAGATGCAGTCGACGTCAATAATAGGTAGGCAGTTGGAGGACCTCAATCAGTGGGACGACATTGGTAACCTAGTCGGAGTTTCACTGAAACATGTAATCATAGTGCGAATCAGGTTGCACCCAAACTTTAAGCACTACGAAGAGCCAAGACATCTGTGCGTTGTGCTGAACTCCACCACCGAACTAAACTCCGTTCTACAGTCGACAGGTAGACAAGGAAACCTACACTGCTCCATCCGTGTTTTATAGACACCCCGTGGGGCGTACGTTATCGAGATAACTGCACCTTAGAGGACTACCAAAAGGAATCATTAACCATAACCATTCTTGTTCACGACTTTCCTGAAACTGAACTGTGGAACAGGTAAAAATTGGCATTTTACGGGCAAGAAAACAAATGCCTAGCAAGTCCCGTAGGATGGCCAGAAGAAGGATCGCAGCAGTGCGAATAGAAAAAAGTAATAAAAGTAATATCGTTTTGGTGGGCTGAACACAGTGCTCGCGTAGTATCATGCAAAAAGGACCAAAATCAGTTGTGTAGGTTAATTCTGGTTATGAAAGTTTCGTCACATCACATCGCCTGTCGAGACATCCGGGCTATTTCTCGTAATGTAGGTGAGTTAGAGCAAAGTCAAGGGAGATATTTTAAACGCAGGTAAAGTGGGAGCGGAAACAATGAAATTTAGGAGTGCATTCCATGGCTGGCACACGCGAAGAGATTGAAAGTTCCGTGGACATTCTAGCCGGCTGCATTCTGTGGCTAACTTGAACTGGTGGTCCCTCAAATTCGTGTTG